CCATTTGTTAAGCCATTCTTGAAGCTTATCTAAATTTTCCTGTAGATATTCGGATGCTACTGCTGGATTGTCATCTGATGCCATGATTAATGTGTCATCAGCAAATGTTGCAATCGCAGTATTGTTAGTTTTAGGAATATCTGCCGAAATTATATTTTTTTTTAATTTTTCTGAAATTTTGCAAAATTATGTAATCATTAATTTAATGTTTAAAAATGAAGAAAACAACGAATGTTTTATAGTATTATATAACATTTTTGCAATTTACAATTTTCCCATTTCTTCAATTGAAAAATTAAAAAACGTTTTTCCCCTTCGTCAATTATAATTATTTAATTTAAGCAATATGCAGATAATTTCTTTTAAACATTTTTTATTTCATAATTTGCTGGAAAAAATGTTGATGAAAAATTATTCTATTAACAATTAAGATGTTTATTATAAATATAAAGAATCACCAGGTATATTATTTATTTAAAAAAAAAATAAACATAGATATGAATTGTAATTAGTACTCAATTTGTACATTTCTCTAATTGGTCTATTTTCAAACATTTTTCGTTCAATTCATTAGACTCAACTATTGTTTTTAACGTCATTATTATTGAATATTTTGCTACGAAACAATAACAAAATATCCATAAAATGTATAAAATTCTCTGACCTGAATGCATCTAATTTACGTTTATTTTATGTTTTTTGTCTTCTTTTACAAATATGATAAGTAATTCATTATTTCTATAATACAGAAATTAAGAAATCTTGTTTATTAAGTGAAAATATTTATAATCATCATAATTAAAAAATTACACTAATTTAAAAAAAAAATAAAGAAATTAATACAATTTATACAATTTATAATCATAACTATTGGATAATTTTACCAATTAATTAAAATAATAGAAAAATCTATTAATTGGAAAAATGTAGTTAACCTTGAAGTTGTTGACAGAGACAGCAAATATTAGGTTTTTTTTGTTTCGTTTCCTTAATTGGTCAAGTTTCAAACTGTCCGGTTTCCTGTCGTTAAGTTTAACACTCTTCCATAATGCATCATCTCCTGTGACTTAGACAGTTCTTCTTCCTGTTCTCTGCCTTTCTTTTTGCCTCTCATGTATTTTCACTAAAGTCCCCTTCAAAGTCGCTAAACATATTCAATACACGAGCCCTTTATGAACACAACTTTATTTGCCGCATGGATGGATTAAGTCGACCCGACCTTTCTTCTTTTCGTTTTTCTTTCGAGGACATTTTATTCCACAAATTATAATAAATCGCAAAATGAGCAGAAATTTGCAGCATTTTTTTTAATCAGATTAGTTATAGTAATAAAATTTATAAAATATTTGCATTTATAGTAAATAAATAATAAAGTAAATTGAACTTTTACTTGTAACTTTAAAAGGTATGAAGATATCTGTTGTTGTAAGATTAAATAGAGCACCTTGTGAATAAAAAAAATGTTGAGTGCGAACCTTTGAGGGCTTAGATGTTTGTCTTTGAGGAAGGGAATGGAGTGAAATATTTACGATTTCGGGTGTAGGCGGCAGCTGGTGGGGAAGTAAGAAGTAATCACGCAAATAGGGCGCAAGTCGTCGTCGTCGGCAGAGGCCGGAATGTCGTACGGCCCTTCATCATCGGCTTGGAATTACTTTACACATATTTCGCATAAGTGACGTTCATTGTGCTTCCAATTTACGACCACTCTGGTCCTGTTAGACACCGTTTCCATATTTCACGAAAGGCCATAGCATTGCATACTTTCAACGCCGTTTCAGAAGCAATAATCAAGTACAACCTCAAACCAGCGGATTCCCAGCGCGTTTAATAAGATCCGAGATTCCTTAATGAAGACGCCTTAATGAAAAACAAAACGAACCAAAATAAAAAATAAGCAAGCACCGAATCCGTGAGATCACGAAAGTCAAGTGTCGTGATTTCAGCATCTTACGATGGGCGCTATCTCGCGATCCGCACGAACTTCCACCTTTTATGTTTGTTAATTAATTAGTTTAATTACTTTCGGAATTCACAACCGGATCTTCTGCCGTCTTATCCGCTTTCTGGCGGGTGTCGTTTTGTGTACAATTTCACAGCTGCACGGAACAACCCTCTAGCGACATCAATTATCCAACATTTAGCTGCAGGTGTTATTTTTACTTATTTGGATTTATTTTTTTTACTACTGTTTCCCACTCCAATAATCATACACATTTGTTTAATGATTTGTTTTCGATTTGTCCATATAGTTTAATTTTTACTTATTTGTCTTTTATTACTTGTATCTGGCTAATGGATGTGCTGGACTATGTGTTTGGGTAATTTGTATTTACATGCTATCATCCAGTTAGTCGCAATGGGTATTCCCATCGATAAGGCGGACAATAAACAACTTTTCCTCCAGAATTTATTAGGGTGCTCGGTTTTAAAGTCAATTAGAGTAACGTCCCCGGCAAGAGACTACTCTCTTCCGCATCCGTCTCTAATTACACAACCGGTCCCGAGGAAAATGGAGCAGTTGCTCAATTCCTCGTTTCTGTGCAACTTTCTGCTCGCGCCGCCCCCGCCGGCCGCAAATTAAGCCAACTTTTCCCCGAGTTTGGGTGCATCAATCAATCAATCTACATCCTCAAGTCTTGTGGGAAGGGCAGTAGAAGTAGTAGGAGCAGGAGCAGGGCAGAGCAGACACAGAAGAACTCTCCGAGCTCAATCAATACGCGGATTTACATCCGCTCAGCGTCTTCCCTTTTTCGAGTTGCCTTATTTTCGTCCTCCTAATTCCCAATGAAATAAAGGGAATACAGTGTGCATAACGGACGATGCATAAATGATGAAGACACCGTCGAAGGCCTCTCCGCGATTTTATTCACATCACATTGCAAGACGGCGGGATTAAATATTTATTCGGAATTCCTTTTTCCCTCGACTGAATATATAAATTCCGAATGGACTGCTATTAATAAGACTACATTTTGGAATCGCGTGCGGCAGAGGCGGCGATGGTGAGTGAGTTGGTGGTGGTGGCGGGATTTCGCTTTTAATTCAATTCCGGCGCGAAAAAAGAAATACCGAAGTGGGAAGAATGGACGAGGGGAAAGAATAATAATGAAAGAAATGAGGAAAAAAAAATCGAAAATTCATTTAAGCCCCTTGAATACATTAGGGGAGCAAAGAATACAAATTATTGTAATTTACCAATTAAGTTTGCCAAAAGTTAAGACTGCGTTTGTGGTAATCTGCAATTTCTGCTAAGCGATTCTCTTCTAATTATAATTTTTTTTTTTTCTTCTTTTATTTTTATTTTTAATTATATTTTAGGGAATAAATGGAATATTTAGAAAAAAAAAAGCAAATGGAAACGAAAAGCAATGTGTTTCTTAGGATGGACCACCGACTTAATTTTGTTTTTTTTTATAGAATTTAAGCACAAGTACAATATTATGTCTTCTTTCTTATTTATTTTTTAAAAGACCAGTGTTTGGTTGACATTTCTTTATTATATTATAGGCTTTGATATGGATTTATAAGAATTATTACTTGTTATAACTGTTGTTCTAGAATTTGACAGGTCCAATTTAGGCGCCAAATTCAACTCGCTCCTATGATCTTTCATATTTAAACTTGAATTAATTTGAGATCTAATATTTGGAGACATTTAAAATATTTGTAGTCATGCACAGTTACTATTCCTATAATAATTATAAGTTGTCTAGAAACAAAAGCAACAATTATTTCAGATATATAGCGTACACTAAGGTCGTTCATATTAGTTCTTCAATATCAGCAGATTAATTGATATTTAATTGCGTTTCAATCTGAAAGTAATCAGAGAGTATTCAAATTAGCCAACAGAACAGTATAAAGATTCGACGACACTCGTGTCTGTTCTTATTATTTCCATCCATTAAATTACACTCATCCGATGGATCGCTTAATCATAACGGTGATTCCCGCACGAAGATTGATATGTTTACAGGAGCCGTACTCAGTTCTTATCTAACAGTCGAGGACGCATCAATCTATAAATACGCGACATTATCATAACTTTTAACGCTTCTGTTTTTGACATATCTTCGTGCAGATGTTGATATTCCAAATTGTAACAGTCCAAAGTCAAGTGTTATCGATGAAGTTTGATGACTAAGGGTCTATTCACCTGTGGATAAGTTATGAATACTATTGTTTTTTTTGCTATGCATATTTTCGGAATCCTGACACTAATTGTATCAATAAATATTGTATAGGCATGTTCGTGCTTTGATTCACAGTCCGGATTACTAATAGGTGCAAAGATTGGAAACATCAACAATTCGGAACAATAGGGAATTAAGCCGATAATTTCATATGAAGCTTTAACAAACGATGCACAGGTCCGTACTTAGTTTATTTATTTTTTCAATTTCTTATTTTTCGAATTTGAGTGCATCTTATGGTAATATATACATTTTTGAAATTATCTACTAATTAAGTGCGTTTTAAATGTAAAGTTGCTGAATTTGGACCATCTAAACATTTTATTTATATTTTTTTGTTAAATGTATTTAAAAAAAGTAAACATTGGTCCAATCAACTCAACTGTTTCTTTTTTCAGGATTAGCTTTATTTCATATTTCATGAGTAAAATTGGAACAGAAATATTTTTTGATTTGCATTTGTCCTTTTAGTATTCAATGCTTTTACGTCTTGTGGTAATTTGCACCACATTATTAAAACAAGTCGCGAGTGGTCCAACCCAGGCGTTGGTCCAAATTGAGAAACCATTATTAACCGGAAATTTCACCGGAAATCAACACGATTGTCTGGTTGCATAAAGCTATAACTTTATCATGAAAATTACTAGTTGCGGTCCTGGTGCGTGCGTTGGTATTATTTACAAATAGTATTGTTTTGTCGAAGGAAATGATTACAGGAAAAAATGATACATATATATGCATATGTGTGTATATCGGTTTTAGTCGAGAGGGGATTTCATAGTTGGTTCAGTAATTGAACGTGTAAGATCGGAGCGAAGGTTTTTCGTTCGCGATACATACTTATCAAAGTAAATTAGTTGCGAATGGTAACCAAGTTTAAAGAAAAGTTAGTTGATCGTCGAGAAACATTAGTAGTTTGTTAAGGTGATCGTATCCTTATCATCGTCGCTGTATCTGCTATTCTTGAGATGGAGAACTTGGAGGTCATAGACGTGGACACGATGCTCTGGCACGCCGGAGACTTCGGGCGCTTCCAATTCATTTTGATAATGCTCTTTAGTGTGATAAACGCTTTCTCTGCATTCCACTACTTCGGACAGACATTTATTAGTTTGGAGCCGGAACACAGGTGCATAGTGGAGAACAACGAGGGGATTGCAACGAGCTGCGGCGTATCCTTCGCCAACGGTACCGTGGAGCCTTGCTCGCAATGGGAGTATAACTCCAGTTATGGATACATCAGCCTGGTCCAAGAGGTAATATCACAATTGACTTTGTTACAAACGGAATTTACAGTCGATATTCTGAATTTATACATAAAACAGTAGCGAATTTTAAATGAGCAAATTTCCTTTCGACCTCCAATAACAGTGTTGTTCTTTTATTTTTGTCCATTTGCAAATATGGGAATTTATTAGCTGATATGATAAATACCTAGCATATTTGATAAGTATTTACTTGCTATTTGCCTTTAATTGCAAGCGTTCTCTGTAGGCACGCGAACCTGTGATATAATGATCATCTGAATGTTCTAGCTGGATTGGGTTTGCGGTGATTACTGGAAATCCTCGGTAGGTCAATCGGTGTTCTTTGGAGGCTCGCTGATCGGAAGCTTATTGCTTGGTATACTTGCTGATCGTATTGGACGCGTTCACGTCCTGGTTATTGCTAACTTGCTTGCATTCCTGGGAAACTTCTGCACGATCTTCGTGGAGGAAGCTGTCTCATACTCGATCATCAGATTCATCGCTGGATGCGCTTCTGATACAAACTTCGTGATGATGTACATGATTGGTAAATTTAAAGTATTAGTGGTACAAGGGATAGAAGTAATCATATTACATTCCCAGTAATGGAGTACCTCAGACCCAGCATGCGCACGATGGGTCTAAATTTGACGATCGGGATATTCTATTGCATTTCTTCCATATTGGTACCTTGGATTGCTGTACTCTGTGGCAATTGGCGAAACTTCCTCTTGGTCATCTCGATGCCTCACCTCGTTGTCGGCTTCTTCTACTTCTTGGTACCGGAGAGCGCACAATGGTTGATCAGCCGCGGGAAGTTTGCCGAAGCTATGAAGTGTTTCCAAAGAATAGCAAAAACCAACAAGAGACAGATTCCCGACAAAGCCATCCAAGGATTGAAGCTGTACGCAACTGAAAACATTAAAGAAGGCGCAAAGAATGAAAGCTTCTTTGGACTACTAAAAACTCCCAAGCTACGAAGGAAGACAATCATTCTCATATTCAAATCGTAATTCCAACCATTCTCTTTTTATTTCCATCAAGCTCATTTGACTTAAACTGCCTTAATTTTCAGAATGGTCCTGAATCTCTGTTACGATGCCATCGCCAGGAATGTGAACGGATTAGGCCTCTCGCCCTTCATAATATTCTCCGCAACCTCGGTGACGATACTTCCCGGCTGCTTGGTAATCTTGCTACTGCAAGATAGGATTGGAAGGAAGGCTTTAGCATCTAGTTCGCTTTTCCTGGGGGGAATTATAATCTCAATAGCTGGTATCATATTGGCTTCCTTCGATTCTCCAAGTCTCACGCTGATCTTAACTGTAATAGCGCGTCTTAACGTTGTCGTTGCTTACAACTCCGGAAGTCAATACGCGTTCGAGTTAATCCCCACCGTTGTAAGGGCCCAGGGGGTTTCCGTGGTTCATGTAGCCGGCTTCGCCGCGACTTTCTTCAGTCCGCAAATCCTCTACCTTTCGACCTTTTGGAAGCCGCTACCAGAGATTGTCCTTGGAATCCTTCTACTGATGTGCGCTGTATTATGCCTCTTCCTACCTGAGACGTTCAACAAGACGCTCCCTGTAACACTGCAAGACGGCGAGAACTTTGGCGAGAATGAGGACATGTTTAAGTATTGTTGTTGCTTCAAAAAAGATATAACCGAAAGCACTATCGTCTTAAACGAGGCTTAAAGGATGCTACTATTAGATGTTTACAGCTCATTTAAAGGCAATTAATTCAATAATCTTCTAGTCGCATCCATGTCTTCACATAATTCCTTAAACTATGTATATTTTTTCCATTTGATAATTATGAACAATTTTTATATTATTACAGAACGATAAAACTCTTGATATTAGTCTAAGATAATTCAATCTCAATATATATGAACCTCCTGTAATTTTATTTAATTATACATGATTATGTCTGTACATATTGTATTAGTAAAGCTTGAACAATTCCGGATTTCCGTGCCACAGTTCACAATATATATTTATCGAATTTTCTTGCATCAGTTATTAAATATATTAATTTAAATGATATGTCAATTTATACGAACATTTCTGAGATCAAATATTTAATTACCAATTCAATGTGTATCCTTTTATATTCTCTTCAGATTAAAGATGTCGCATAAGACGCAAAGATACCCATTGTCCTAAAATATCTATATCCTAAACTTCATTCTTCATAAATTTTGTTTAATCCATAATTTAATAAACAAAATCCTTATAGATTATCGTTACTGCAAAATGTACTCAAATCATAAATTTGCTAAAGTTTAAATTGTTTATAATTATGTAATGTATAGATGTTAAATTAAGTAGAATGTCAAATGCTATTGAACGAATGATATAGATTATTTTTAATATTTATATTATATATCATTGAATACATAATTTGTGTATGAATCTATTTGATGTTTTCAAATTTTAATAGTCAATATTTGTATCACTGGATTGATAATTTCTTCAATTTAGAATCAATTCATATTTTAGTGTTAGACAACCAACATTACTTATTCTTTTTAGTTATGATACTAATATGTTTGTACTAGAAGATTATTTCTGGCTTTTATAATGTTAAAATGTTTAAAATATTATTTGTTGAATACGTAAAAAATATTAAAAGTGAATAGGATTTTCGTAAAAATCGTTTTTTTCTTAATTACACGAAAATTACGTAACTTTTGTTGCATTTCATGATTGCGTAGGATGGACGCCACCCTTTATGGAACAAAAGCAATATGTTTCGATCGATACAAACAGAATAATTGGAGATGAATAATAAAGCAAAAAAATAAGCAAGTAACACTTGATATCCGAGATCTGATGGATAGTATTTAATGAAGAAAGCAGATAGAAAAACGCAAAAAAAAAACATGGGAATTATTAAATTAGTTATTAAACTTTGAAAAGATTATATTTCATTATTATATCTGATTGTTTGTATTTATATTTGTACAGTATATATTATCAATTACATAGCTCTTGATTATTAACCCATCTATGATGTTTGTGTTTTATTTATTTAACATATAATTAAAAAAGATAATGATAATGCATATTATTTTATTTTATCTGATTTTTTTTGCAGTTTTGTAATTATTTATATGAAGGTACCATTCTCATAATATATTTACTACAATGATTGATCGCAGAGATCGGCCGACCAATATTCAAAGAGCATCATTATTCCTATTGCATCAATTATAAAATTTGACTGAATCGATTCGTCAGGTGCTAAATAATATTGTTGTGCTATTTTTCATTAGGTTAAGTGATAGGTTCATTATTTGGATTGAAAATTAAATTAAAATGCTTGATTTTGATAATAATTAGCTCATTGTTGTAGGTTGTAGTTTTGTATTTAATTTGTGTATTTGATGGTTTAATTAGCACGAGTGGTAATCGATTAATTTAATAAACCTGAAGGTATTTCAGCAAATTGAAAAAAAATTAGTTAAACAAGTGGTTATATCATATATATTAGAAAATTTTAATTTACTTTTTAAAAACATAATTATTTGGCTTTCGTTTGCTATAAAATACGTTAGTTTTGGTCAATTAATAAGAAAGTTATTAGGCTTTAATGAGTTGGCGGTTTTCGCGAATAAAAACGCAAGTCGCCCCCCGAAAATGATTATAGAAAATGCCAGTAAATTGGGATTTGCACCAGGAGACCAGGAGTGCGAGGAAGTATCTGAGCTCCAAGCAAAGGTCCTTCCTGATTGGTTGTAATTTGAATTTTTGAATTTTACGTTTGTGTGAGTGAGCGAACTGTTATTGTTACAGCTGTTACGCTGACAGTTACTGATGCATGTTAAATTTAAAGGTATTTATTGGATTTCCAGTTTATTCTACATTGCTCTGAATGCAAACTTAATGAACAACATGCTCCATTGCTTCCTTCTTCTATTTCCTTGGATGGAAAACCTTTCTCTGAACTTCACATTTTACTTCGGGCAAGTACTAGTGGAACAGAATGCATTAATTGTTAATAGTCATAAAGTAAGTAGTCAAGAATCATTGATACTATTATTATTATTTTAGGTGGAGCTAATAGCAACATGCCCCAGAAAGTGGAAAGCATTCTTTACTAGCAGTTTTCATTTGCAAATAGTGGAAATCTTAACTGCTGAATGTAACCATAAATATTACTTCATTAAGAAGATGGATAACAACTATGAACCCTGTAGCACCCATGATTCTATTATTGCTTTCTACATGATCCTTAGAGACTGGATAACATATATAGAAAGAGAAGATGAATTGAAAATACTGGAATAACAAAAATGTTAATTTTCATCAAATTCCCAGAAAGAGATTAAAAGTATTTCATATAACTATCAATTTATATTTTCACTTATTTTAATCTCTGTATATTTTAGATCAACAATCTTGTAGAAGCAAGTGCTTACGAAAATACAGGCTATTTTCGAAAACGTTGCTTTGCAAACTTTCTAATACCAAAGTTTGATGATTAATTGTGACGAAGCTATGGCAGCTACAAACTTGTATTTATACTCATTTTAATCTGTCTATATTCAAGATCAACATTCATGTCCAAAACTCTTCTGAGAGTTGGTGTATATGAAAATACAGGCCATTTTTGAAAACGTTCTTTTCTAAACTATCAATACAAAGTTTGATAATTAATTATGACCAAACTATGGTAACTACAAGCCTGTATTTATATTCATTTTGCGTAAGGGCGTCACCCTTATCAAAATAAATATCAATCAACAAGCCTATTGGCATCTTCGTGCTGACGCGGAGTCGTCTGCTAAGAGCTGCAGAAATTGGAAAAAAAGTGATTAAGATTTACTTATAAATCGATTTTCGATAATAATTCGAAAACCAATAAACTTTTGTTGCATTTCAGAATTGCGTAAGATGGGCGCCACCCTTACGCACCTTTTTATGAAACAAAAGTTACGTAATATTCGTTACGTAACAAAATAACAATACAGATACTATAGTTTTTATTCAAATTTAAAATTCCAAGTTAGGCAACACATATTGCAAACATTATTCTTCAAGTTAAACATACCAATCGATAGTCATGTTTTTCGTTGATCTTTTATTATTCTAGCTATTTACATCATCTTATACTCAAATTTATCCTTGCAAAAGCTTCGTCCGCTGAGCTATTAAAATTGTGTCGATGGTGAAAATGCATCGTCTTCATTAATTTCAGGATAACCAAGCAAGGATAATTACATAATTCAAAAAGAAACGTAAACTGGAGACCGACGCCTTTCGAAACTGTGAAGGGTCCTGAAAATTCGCGCAATGTTGTTAAAATCGATAGACGTTTTCGATTTTCCTAAGTAACACGAAATTCTCTATATTATTACATAACCAGGAACGAGGAATCGTTGCGCAACTCATTATATAACAAACGTTGCAATGCGACGTGTTTTCAGTTTTTTTTCTTAATTACTTGAAATCCAATACATCTGTAAACGTCTTTAATTATCAAGAAAGGAAAATTAAGTTCAGTCTCGAGTTATATGCAGAAATTGCAACGAAATCATTTAATTTGTCATTTACTGGGATGTTATATATGTAATAATAATATAAATTTCTTGAATTAGTTTTAAAAATTATTTGGATCTTGTCTTTTAAATAAGTTTGATTTGTTCTATAGGCATTTGTACAAGTAAAATATTGATTAAATGCGTTTTAAGATTGACGATGGTCGTCCAAACCATAAACTTAGCATTAGGAATGAGAAATCGATTTTTAGAAGGCTGTTGCCTTTACTTAATGATGAGCTATACTATTAATATTAGAAACTTGATAAAAACTGTAGACAATTTTTTAAACGTTATATTGATGTATAGTTCTTAGCTTAAGTTCTTGTCTTATCTAAGCTTTGAAACAACAATTATAATAATAATGAATAAATATGTTTTTGCGAAAAAAAAGATAATTAAATATAATCGTCGAATTAATATTACCAATAGGGGTATAACGAAATGTATGAATTATCTTGCAGTGATGTGGTGGAGTTTGAAACACAAAACTAATATTAGACACATTAAATATGATCGACCAGAAGTTTTTCCCATTCAATGGATACACTAAAGACCTCCTGCTCAAGCCAGAGTCCGTAGTGCCTCTTGAAGTTATCGGAAAGCTCGTGCTGGTTACCAAGTACACTACTAAGACAGTTATCCACCGGTTCGAAATCCGCATCCTTCAGTTTATTTGTGTAACGGCGATTGTTAAACCTATCAACGGACGCACGGAGAGCGCACTCCTCAGCTTGGAAGTCCCAAGGCTTCGCATCTAAATCTGAAGAAAACCTTTGTTAAAAACGTAATTTTCTTATAGATTTATGAGTTAACCTACCGTTACCAAAGGCCCAATCGTCGTTAAGACGATGCCTGACTTTAGCGTAAATAGCGCTGATGGTTTTCATATTCGACTTCCTCCACTGTCGACCAAGGTATTTGGTTTGCATCTTCATCAGCTTCAGCACGTAAAGCTGAGTCATAGCATGTCGGACTTTCAAGGTGCACTTCAGTATAGGCGCGGACTTGAAGACAACCAACATCTGCAAATAGAAATTTAATAATCATGAGGAATTTAACAAATCTTCAAAGTCCTACCATAATACGAGAGTGTTTCCATTTGGTCAGCTTGTTTAGGATTCTGAGCAAATTTATACAAGAATATATATTTCGCCAAGAGTAAGAGGTGGAATCGCCAATCTCCAAACTATCCGCCGTCAGTTCCGGCTGATCACCTATCACGCAGGATGGAAAATCCAGTATAGGAATCCTGGAACATAATTGATTGATTACCAACATCCACATTAAGTGTTTTTGTTTTACTTACATGTTCTTCGCGCCAACGTAAGCCATGATATTTTGATTAAAGAATTTCAGTACTAATGGTATGCAATTAGCAAATACTAAATGTTGCGACATGAATTCGAATTGGTAAATGTGATTTAGCTTAAAATGTTTCAGTAGAAGAAGCAATATCGCGGAAACAGCCTTCACTATGATCTCCTTGTGCCTGTTTACATCAATTCCTAATTTCATCGATTGCAAAACTGTCATACTGCAAACAAAAACTATTTATTTTAAACAGTCACTGCACGTAACAAATCGGAATTGAGTTCAATCCGAACCACATCTTAAAAAAATGTTAAGTAAATCCAATAATATTGTGAGCATACTTTACCCAAATATACGTTAGTTAAGTCATGCTCTTGATTTACTTGAAGTAACTTCACCTGCCATTACCTACATTGAAGCTTGAGTAAACGTACATTAAATCCCTTTCCATCTCATTTTCTTCACCAATTCTGCCTATAGGAAGAACAAAATACTTTGATCATTTAATTCAAACACTATATCTTGAAGTCCCACGATATCTTTACAAAAATCTGATTGTTATCAAGATTGGTCAATCTTGGAATTGTTTTAGAAAAAAAAATCCATTATTTCCGTCATGGTGTCAGCAATAAAGCAATTACAGTAGACTTCAGTATAACGAAATAGTAAATAAATGAAGATATAATTAAGTTTTATGAAGATGAAGTCACCATTGTCTTTTAAGTTTTATCTTAAGGTACTAAGTTAACTTTTAATTATTGGCAGGAATATTATAAGAACTATATTCAATGACATTAAAGTAATAAATAGTTGAAAGCTCACAACATTTCTAAGTAGATTTACTAATAGAAATGTTAAATAAATATTCAATTCATAACGTAATTGAACTCTGTTCATAACGAAAACATTGGATAATTTCAGAGTTTTATACATTTGTACTTACGGCATTTCTTCTGGTAGAACGTCTGCCATGATGTTTATGGAATCTGTTTTAGCTTTAGAGGTAGGTGCGGCGGCGAGCAATATTTTTAAAAGTGCGATCATGTATTGAGGTAAGTTAGGCAGCATTGCTTGGTACAAAATCTCCGTCGGTGTCATTTCGATCTCATCCTCCTTCGTCGACAGAGGATTCCTGGCGATCTCTTCCTCCTTCAAAATCTGCAGCTCAGCTATAGAAGTATACATATGCTAAAAGAAATATTTGATATAGCTATAGTTAACGTGAAACATTGCTGCTATTCACATCTTTCAAGATCTGTACACCCTCGTGAATTGGTTGCGGTAGCCCAGCTAAGCTTTCACGGTCTCCTTGTAAATTGTATCCAACAAATTTCATTCTCGCGTTCTCCAGGAATAGATCAATATCTTTTTGTCGTACTTTCGGCTTCCAAGGTAAGCCCTTCGGTAAGGGCAAAGGTATCGGCGTCGGAGAGCTGGGCCTGTTTTGGAAGTTACTGAGCATTTGAGTATTATTTTCTCCGTTCTCCATTGGACGTCTCTCATCGTATGCTGTTAAATCTGTTCCTTCATCGCCGTTCTCACCCCCTAGCGCACCTTCCATTTCCATCCCCAACGATTCGTGATCATCCAAAGAGCTTTGTTTTATCAACCCCTAAAATATCAATGAATGAAGGATTGTTGATATTTGATTATTATTAATGAAATTACTCTACGAAACGGTCTGGTATTCCTTTTTTGATTTTGCGTATCTATTAAATCGGAGGCGCTTGCTGGAGGAGAAGAAGCCCTCATAGTCTTTGCTATGTCCATAGTGTCTTCATCCTGCGGAGGCAGATTAGCACGTTTCCTTCGCTCCGCTTTCAACTGCTTCAAAGTTTCCATCCCTCCTAACGATACCAGTATCAATTTCCAAAGCAACAAAAGTACTTTCTTCATTGGAAAATGTGGCGCAACACCACTACAAAACCTAGTAACCATCCCCAACAATTTCACGACCATCAGCTCATCTCCATTCGGATTTGCTATCTCGTTACAGAAAGCTTCAACTTGCATCTTATACTCAGACGAATCCAGCACTTTTTCATTTCTTATAACTTCTGTTATGGTGTAAAGCACTGATAATATAACACGTAAATCTTGAGAATCCGCTAAAGATACAGCCAGTTTACGCATTGCAACTCTTGCAGCAGCGCTATTTCTAAAAACAAATAAGTCACAATAAATAAAAACATTTATTAAAAGAAAACTACTCACTCAATTTCAATATTTAAAAGATCAGTGAATGCACTGAATACACCTAAATCATACAGTATCATGCAGTTCTTCCTTGCCCACTCCTGCTGCTCAGCGTCAGACTGCATTTCAGCCCAACATCCTTGTGCTATGTACAATATACATCTTGCTGCCCTCATCCGCAGAGGTTTACTACTAACTTCCAGCTGATCAAGCAGTTTCATGATAATAGATTTCTTCTGTGGAATTGATAATCTCTGCCAGCTGGGTAACAGCCCGTACTGTTCCATTTGATCTTCAAAAGCCTTGACATTGAGCTGAAGCTCAGGCTGCTCTGTGTAGCTATAAAGCTCTGCAATTTCGTTCGCATAGCTGTCTGTGTCATCATAAATAAAATCCAGGTCTGGAGAATCGCATCCGCCACCCTTGGAGAAAACAATAACAATGACTAATCTTGGTTTTGGTAGACATTGAAAGGTCAACGCTCATTGATTGAATACAATAAGTTACGTTTCTATACTATAATGATATGTTATGATTGTACTTACATCGGAATCGTGTCTTTGGCGTCGTATAAGTTCACGGAGCTTTGGTAAACTCCTTTTCCCGTTCCCATTAGCATCCATAACGTCAACCCCAGCATACTTCTTCTCCACCACTTCACTGCACTTCACAAGCAAATCATTAGACTCAGTGTTACCAATGGTTATCATTTTTCGTGCTTGTGGATTGTTTATGTTATAAAACAAGGAAAACTATAACTTTACTAATTAATACGATAACAGTAAAGGAGTAAAGAAGAGACTCTTTCTGCTTCCAGTTTTTACAAATGTTTATTAAAATTTGTATGAACCTTCATTATAGGCAAACTTATGTGCAAACATAAACTTTTCAAAAACAAAACATATTGAAAAAAATTCAAAATAAATATTTAAAAAATTAATATAGTATAAATATATATCACAAGACGCTAGTACTTCTTTCTTGATGAACGTCTTAATCAAGGTTCACTTAAGATCGCTTCAAGTTCTTCTGTGCTTAACTCAGTACCTTTCAATGCCTGTCCACTTTTGTCCTGATGATTAAAATAATTTGTAACAATAAGATTTGTCTAGAAACATTAGACCTACCTCTGGTGCGTAAAAATGCTTTTTGATCCATTTGTCGACCATCTCCATCCGCAATTTGTCTTTCGGAATAGTGTGTGGGCATGGTTCACTTAAGATCTCTTTAAATTCTTCTATGCTTAATTCAGTACCTTCTAATGTCTGTCGACTTTTGTCCTGATGATTAAAATAATTTGTAACAATAAGATTTGTCTAGAAACATTAGATCTACCTTTGTTGCGTCCAAAAGCTTTTTGGGCCATTTGTTGAGCAACTCCATCCGCAATTTATCTTTCGAAATAGTCAGTAGGCGTGGTCCTTTGCAATGATGCTTTTTTGGTTTATGATGGTACTTACAAAACCGCAAATGGCATCGTAGGCATAAACCATCCCACCTTACTTCACTTTTACAGGTTTTATACCAACAAGACCACTGCAATAGCCGCAAGTCCTGGTATATAGGAAGCATGCTGGTCATTGGCCGAAATCGAACCATTATTATTTCTAAAACTACAAAAGTAGATATATACACTGTAATAATTTGAAAATATGCAAAAACGCATATGGTAGATTTTAAATTAATTAGATACTAAACTATACTATATAAAAATGCTGCCACAGTAAATTTGTTTATTTAACTGAAAGAAAACAACTTTTTTTGCTATATATTTTTATTATAATATTACAACATCATAATTAATTTAAAACTTTTCAGTTCATTTTTAGGTTAGGTTGGTGATTTTCATAGTTGCTAAAACTTTTGTTTTTTATAAGTACATATTTGAAAATGCATACAATCCTACTAACAATAAGTATAGAAAGTACTTCTAATAACATTTACTAACTTACTGAAGATTTTGGCTAATTTTCGCTTGATTATTAAAAAAGTTATTTTCAATATTATTTCAGAAATTTGCGCGATTTATCGATCTTCGATAATCTGAGTATTGGTAGAAATTAATTAGTATAGTTATATATAACTTATCAATTGATTACACATATTAAAGAGAAGATACTTACAAGATAAAGTGGAGCAAAAGAAAATCAAAGGTTCTTAACAGCAATCACGTGACTCTGCGTTTCTAAATCACGTACAAAATGCATTTAGTTTTTGAAATTACCATTCATATAAACTGTGGTATACTTATGAATGAAGACCGTAGTTCCGTAGAAAAGTTTATAACATATTAAAAATAACTAATCATGAACAAGTTTCAAACAAACTTTTTAACTACAGATGAAAAAATTAAGTACATTGAGCTGAATACGGTCCTGACCCATATAAGATTTTTTCATTTGTTGTAACAAATTTATTAAGTAAATTTTGTGTATTTTTACAGATATTTTACAATAAAATTATTATATATATATATATTCAAAAGTTTTATTTTTTTAATAAGTAATCTTATAAGAAGTTAGTTTGGTTGCATAACACATTACATACAAATTGGTCTAATTCGTTCTTCATTCTTGAATATTTCAGAACATATTCATCTATATTTCTAATTGTTTTAGTATCAACTTATGTTTATTGTCCTTGGCTATATATTTGTATTCAACTTTCAGTGTTTTTTTTATAAGTACACACAGCAGTTTAATTTAAAAAGTTACTCCTTGTTGTCATCATTGATACTGATCCTGTCATAAGGTATGGTCATTCCAGAAGATTAATTAATTTCCCTGTTAATTTCAGCTAATATAATGATTAATTAAGAAATTTAAGCTTATCTTTGCAGGTGTCTTAGGTCTGTCTGACTTTGTTATCTAATTTAAAAAATCTGTTGATGCAACCTTTATGCTACTACGACTCCCCAAAAAAAAATTTCCGCGGTAATTATTGTTTTAATAGATTAAATAATATAGACACGTTTTATTTATTTGAAGATATTATGGTATAAAAATTAATTTATTTAAAAATTTTGGCGCCTCCCAGGTTGGAAACCGCTGCCTCAATGTAATATTCAACCGTGTCTTTATGATCTGCATGTATCTTGTACAGATTTTCTTATTCTACTTCCAAAAGTATAAAGACGCACTACAAGTTTACTTATCTTAGTATGATTAAACTAATAATACATGTACGATGAGCCAAAGTGTATAATTACAGTTTACATATTAAGGAACTTTGTGCTGGATACAGTCCTGTACTTGCTTAGGCAACAAGTTGATCTTTACTTATGTAGGAACTTGAGGATGACGGGAAATTTAAAAATTTGAAACTCAATAACATTAAACGTTTTATATTGATGATTTGTGTTTCATACAATTTAATCAGTCACTCATAAAGTGATTATAAGTTTCAGACTACAGATCTTAGATTTGATGATCTAATAAAATGAGTATTTTTCTATATATTAGACACTTATATCCTCTTTATAAGGAATATCCTACTCTATGCAGAACAATATTAACATATACATTTTATGTTTATTGTGCAGATCCATTGATATACATTCATTGTACATTAATAGGTGGTTCTGATGTGTAATGACATTCATTCTACTAATCGAAGACATGAAGATGCTTCACATTTAATTGCATTTCATGTAAGGATTATTAAGCAGTGCTTCGACTGTATGGAAGGTGTAACGATGTGTAGGTGTGTTTAATGTAGGTATTGTGTGTGTAGTTTTTTTTTTTTTCGTAGGTTTATTATGACGACAGTCTAATTACAGTACAATATCTACAGTTCAAAACGGCAACAGATTTCTAAATGCTTCATGTTGCTTGAGCTCTATGTTGTATATGAATATCCATCTAAAAAACTATCGGTATTTACATAACAAATTGAAACATTGATATAATATGATATAACATTTTTTTTCTACCCCATCACCTAAATGTCTAATAAAATATACAGTATGACTTTATACACTCACATATATTTATATATATATAACATTGAATTTATTAAAATGAATAACAATGATATGTACCCGAAATAAGTGAATCCACAGTGGGCGTAGTTATTATTATTAGTATTCTTTCTGTTTTTAACATATATATTTTTTTTTCCTTAGCTATATCATTAGGTTACTTTCAATACTTTTCATTTAGTAACTTTTTTTCAACAGGTGAAACTCTGTGGTGCAAAGTTTCATGTATTCATTAATATTTTCATTTATTTACTTACTAACTAGTAAAACTAAGGCCACTTTTAAAATACAATAGTATTCTAAAATTACCCCAAATGTTGGTAAAAAGTTGCGTTCTTCGTCTTATTTTCTTTGTTTAGTTTTCTTCGGTTTTCTCCAAAATAGACATTCCGAAAGTAAATAGTGTATATAACATTAAAAGCTACCAAGCGTTGACATTAAAATCGTTTAAATCATTACATGTATAAGGAATAGCAAATTCGATAGTTATGAGTTTTTTTGTTTGTTGTTGTTGTTAGTGTGCGTAAAAAAATGAACGAACGTGAACACTGGTTAAGGCTAGGTATCATTCATGGTATAAAGAGCTTGAACGGAATGTAAGAACGGCCTTGAACCCATTTTCTTGTTTCATTTACGTGTAATTGAATTCAAACGATTCTAACAACAAAACGTTAGGATGATACGGATGACTCGAAACTTAACAGGTTTTGGGTTTGTTGCTTGTTTGTTACCTCTATAATACCGCGGGTTTGTTTGTTTTATCTCTCGTTTCCACTTTCATCGTTAGGCCTAATTAACTAAAACTTAATCTGATGGACAAGTGAGGTAATAATGAGCTCTATATATCACAATGTAACCGTCACTTGTAAAAAAAAATATTTCCAAGAGTTATTATTTAAACACACTGAGCTACAAATGGAAGGCTCGTCAGGATAATGGACGCATTTAAAGAATGATCTTAAATGCATCTGCTATCCTTAGACACTAAGATTATTTAGACTACTGCTTATTCAGATGCATTTACGATGATTGTCTTGCCCTTGGGGTCGTCGAATCTATCCATAGTCTTGATGTCCATCATCATGACCAAACCGGCAGTAAGGATTAGGACCAAGATGAAGCTGATGAATAGTCCTGACCAAATTGGAGCAGACGTGAAGCCGATGCAGTCGTAGGAATCTGAGAATCTGGATACATTCTTCGTAGGTCCGAATTGCATCTAAACATAAACATTATTAAAGCGATCTGAAATATCTTTCACAATATCAGAGTTTAAAATCTATATCTTTCAGCATATCCAAGGTTACAAATCTATAATTTATCGAGGTAGAAGTATTAATAGACAAATAAAGTTTTCAATTAGTCGCGTATTGCATTAGTAATCAGTTTAAAAGGTACGTGATTAAAATAAATATAATACTTTACAAATGACCTACTTATGGTTCTCATCCACACAAGTCTCTAGTTAAATCAATACCAAGAAAACATTGTATATAATCCAATATTCTAAACTGACTAAATAATTGTTGAATTAACAAAAACATAATAATTTTACGTTGCAGATTTAGTTAATGTATTTTTAATTACTTAATCAATGTTTCTTTCTGAAATATTTGTATTACCTCATTAATAATCCTATGCTGTTACGTTACGTAATTGATTTAAGGGTATTCAGGATTAAGGTATTTTGTTTTATGATTTTATAGAACGTTATTTAAATATTACTTTTTATAGGATTCTTTGCATAAATTTATATTGTTTTACCTGCAATCCCAAGAAATCTATGCGCATGTCTTTCATAGAGATGGAGTAGTTATGGCAATGGTAGGAGAATTTCATTGGGGCGAAGGTCTTGTTGATCTTGTAAAATTCGTTGTTGTACTGAAGTTCGATAAAGTGCCAGTATCCATAAGATTGGTTATAAATGGTAAATCTGTGAAGATTGATAGATTTTGATAGTTTTTGGAGATCAGTTATGTCATTTTGTACTTACCGCAGTTCTGGGATGGTTAAATTGGTGGTCATTGTTACAAAACTAAAGGTCTCATTTTGGCTATAGGCAATATCAGATTCCTTAAGTTTGAAAGGTTCACTAGAATGAGATGAATTATATGTAAAGCAGCACATAATAATTTGAAAGTATATTACATTTTATCGCCTTTTACCAAGTTCCCCGATCCTAAATACATCAAAAAGAAATCTCCTTTAGCAAAACTTCTGTGTTCTTCCTTTTCCGTATCATCAGCCAAAATGTGACGACTTTGGCGTTGGCTTTTTGCTTGTTCTGGTACAACCTAAGAAGTTAGACACAGTCATATGATTATAATGTACTATTACATAAATAATTGTATTACCCATGAGGAATGGAGGCCAGTCAAGATAGCCAGAACATGCTTGTGCTGTTTAAGGATTTTGGAATACAATTCAACAATTGTGGCATCTACAAATGATTTAATTTAAATATGTTCTTAAATATCTACTAAAAAATTTACCATGTCTTCTAAGCATATCAATCCTATCCTCATCGTCTTTAGCATCATTTAAGTTAACAATTAGGACCCTAGACTCAGGCAATTCATTGTTCAAAATTTCGTTGATCGATACTACAGTGACATCCTTAGTTAGCAAGTCTTTAACTGTTTCAACAGGGTTCTCAACCAAGGGCATGTAGCTCACTTGCACAGTGGAACTGATTTTGGCTACATTTTGGAATGTTTTCTTGTCTTGAACAACAAAATCTTCTGGGCTCAGATTTGGCTCTGCGAAAACCACAATCTGAGGGTTGCTCTTTTCGACTTTTTCCAATAAGATTTCTTTGAATGTGCCCTCATTCACATGACCAATAGCCGGAACAATTTCATTTGATCTAGAAGCAAGACAGAATGTTGTACCAATTATGTTTTACAACATCACAAATGAGAATCATGTGATTAGTATATGAGTGAGTAGTTGCATTAAGGGTAGGTGTGGTTAAACAAATTGTTAGTAAAAGTTCACTTACTTTGTGGTTTCCCATAGATAGACAGGTACCAATTCTGTGCAAATACCAGCCCCAAGGAACTGGAACACAGAAATTGCCAGAAACAAATATGATAACCGGCTGGAGCCCATATTGATTGCAGTACTGAACGATTAATAACGAGATCACAAGAACTGGTCGAGGATCACGTGAAAATTAGATATATGGGTTTGACAATCATATGTTTGTGGTGGTAGGGTGGTGGTTTCGAGCGCCATCTATGGTATAATACCAAGCTGAAAACCTTCCATGATACCTACATCAGATTTTGATGGGATGGTACTTGGGGAATTGGAACTGAGGTGGCGCTACAAGCACCGATCTAAGATTCAAATTAAAACTTGAAAATTTAAACTTTTTTTTGTACGTTTAATTTAATTATCTACATATAATATACACATCATTGATGCTCAAAGGTTATACATACATAGTAATAATTATTATAATATTTTTTTTTATTATTTTTTGTTTGTTTACTTCATATATATATAATACAATATTAAAATTTAAAACTGCTATACAACATAAATATTAAATTTATAGTACATATTTCATCTTACATAGATAAATTATAAATAATAAACCAACAACATTTTTTTTAGAGAGATAGATAGAGATAAAACTTAAAATGAAAACAAATCAAATAAAACAACGGGAGGGCAAATGCAGAAAATGTGGGGAGGAGGCGGTTTTATAATCATTAAAATTAATGTTTGGGACAACGTTTTAGGAACAGCACACCAATATGAGTTTTCTTCTTTTAAATATTGAATAATGCAAATGTTACATACATACATATATGTTTTTTTTTCTTATTTTTTTTTGAGAGAGAAGAGAAAAGTGTTATGCTATTACGTCTCTAGACTACAATATAGGTGCAAATATAAGTACGGTGTGCGAAATATTATTTTTCGTTTTGTATTACACAATGACATTACTCTAGTCAGCAACAGATAAAAACAAAGTAGCTTATGATGAGTTTAAAGTTCTTGAAATCGGAGGAGGATTTACATGAAGATCCGGCGAAGATCTGTTGGGGACGTTATCATGCTGCATTGGGGGCAAACCTTTTTGCTACCCTGAAATCAAATAAAAACATTGAATTAGTTAATCAATCTGGAAGGTGTGTTATGGTAGCGGTAATACCAGAGTGTGGAGCCAGCATTCCTCGCAATGCACATGCCAGCAGACGGTGGATATAACGGGCTTTTTATAATGTTCCTATAAGAGATTATATTGGTTACGTATTGAAGCTATTGGTTGGTGGTAGGAAGTTCTTACTAGACATATTAAACATTTGTAGTCTTCCGGGTCCGTGGTGGTGGCCATCTCTCCGTTGCCTTCGGCTTCCAACTGACGTATGCGATTCCTAAGCTCTTCAATCATCTGAGCTCTGCTGCTAGGTTCCGCATCCGATGTGCTTACATTACTATCACATTGTTGCCCGTGGCTTTCGAGCTTCACCTCGACATCTCCGCTCGAATTCACCGTCGCCACTTGAGATTGCACACCCTCGCTATCCTCCTTCTTGTCTTCATTCAGCTTTATCACCACGTCGGATTCGGTGTACTGTGTAGGTCCAAATGTGGACTCCTCCGGTTCATCCCCGTCCACGATGACATCGTCCCCCTCGCCGTCCACATCAGCGCTCAATCTGCCCGTGCTACTTGGCGTCGCCCCTAAACGAAACCACCCTTCATACAAAAAACACGAAATTTAAATTTAAAATCGCTCAAACTCACCAGCTATTAGGGAGTTCGTCCTCCGGCGTTGCCCTTCCGCCCATTCCTCGAACTCGGAATCGCCCTCGACATCAACGGTCTCATCCTCATCGTGGCCCACATTCTGAAAGGTTATTAATCAAATTCCGTTCCGTTCGAGATCTTCGTTATTTACCTTTCTGAGACACTGCTGGGCATGCATATTCATCTCCTCTGGAGTTCGGTGCACGCGGTCGATGCAAATCAGACAATCGTCCGTCTTCCGTTTGCGGATCTTGATCCTCAATCTGCCCTGTCTGTTCGTTTTTATTCTTTGGAACGTCTGAATCATATCCGTGCATTAGAAATAGATCTAGGTTGTACAAACAAATCGAAGTCTTACCTCCCAACGGCCCTCAGGACCGCTATCGCCAGGAAGCGCTGGTGGCCTGCCTGGTTCATGAGCCCTCTTCCTTCCAGCCGCTATACCAGTTCCATTCAGCTTGTACAGTCTCTCCAATTCGTGCATGAAGTGCGTCTCCAGATCACCTGGTGGGATTGTAAGACCACACACCGGACAGCTTGATGGATCCCGTTTCTTTTTATTAACTGCAATGTCTATAATGCTTGAATTTTTTCTACTTGTACACACATATATTTTATAAAATTATCCCATTATCCCCATTATATTAATATTCCAATTTATACAAATAATCCAATCCAATCCAAATAAACTAATCAGTAGAAATACAAAAATTGACAAATTTTCAGAATTTCTATAAATAATTTTGATAATTATTAAGAAACTTTTTTTTGAGAAGAGATTTGTTGTAGGTCTTTCGTTCTTCTAACATAGAAGCTTATTATTTCCCAAGAGTGTGGCAACCCGTCATCTAAAATACCAATAAGGGTGTACCCGTTTGACATTTTAATGTTCCTTAATAAAACTCATAAAGTTGGCAAGTTGAAATGTTGCGGTCCGCCAGATTGACGTCGCAATTATTAATAGTTTTGATTGGCTGCGGCAGGGGGTGAGTAACCCCCGCCAAAGAAGCGAAGTTTCGGGGGGCGGCGGCAACGGTCGAGGGGGAAGGAAGGGGGCGCAACGGCCGCTGCGGCAATATCCGTGAAATATGAACCATTTCGGCGTGTGCAATCGTTTAAAACAATGATTTGATAGAGGGAGGGCGCATATTAATTTAATTGAGGCATTTTGCGGTAATGGCGTTTACTCTGGAATGTGGATATGAATATACGCGAGTTAGTCGCGCATTTAATGGTCTCGTTTGTATGGGTATGCATGTATTTGTATACATGTACTCGCATTTGTATGCGAGCGTGTGTGTGTGTATGCGAGAGCAACGCCGGCAGTAAAAGGGGGATTTATTCAATTTTAATCGTTTATTGTTATTTCACCGGTTATGTATTACATGTGTCCGGGGACACGTGAATCGAGTGTAAAAAGAGTAATTAAATTAATTACGTGCATTATGCCGAGCGGTATTAATATTTCGACCGGCGCCCCATCGTTTTTTTGCAGTACGTGTGCGCTGCACTCGTGAGGGGCGCGCTCCATATAAATGAGGGTAACTAATTGGAGCAACAAAAAACGATTTTATTTTTAATTTTCCCGTCTTCTTTGATTGCTTCCACCTCCCGGATTTCATTCTTCGCCTGGATGTTGAGATTCGCGGGGATAGTTAATGGAGTGGTTAGGCGGAAAAATATATCAGTTTCATCTGTTGTGATCCCGTTGAAGGCTGTGAAATATATTAGCATTTGTCATGTTAATAGTCGCGGGGGGTTGGAGGCGGCGGCCAGGATTGGCGGATTTGTTTAGCGCCCGATAGCGGGGCCCGCATGCTATACATATACCCACCATGCTATTGCTATGCCCATGCGATACCACTGATCCGTTCCGCACCTGCGGGCCCGAACGATCCATCAGCAGCCGCCGTCCGGACATCATTCATGGGATTAGCCGAGCTAACCTTGTTAATTGCCAGTGCCCCCCTTGTATCTCTGCGCGCGTGTATGTGTGCCCCCCTCTCGAAACGTAAATCAGCACCGGCTAAAAGGGGGATGAAACGGGCTTAAGTCATCAAGCCCAACTCGAAATTTACACCGACAAAATATGCGACCCCCGTTTTAAGACACCAAATAATCCTTCGCGTGCATTTCACAATTTGCGAATCGATTTCCCCTCCAGGGCTTAGGTTACCCTAGGTGAGGAGAGTAGACACTTGTCTCGGTATTGAAAAGTTTTGCAGGCGATGAAGAAGCCGTTTTATTAAAACGGCCAAGTCTTTTTCGGAGGGTCGGATCTTCAAGAATTAGAAGATCCCGAATGTGCTGATGGGCCACTCAGTGTTTATACCAGATTTAATTAATTAATTTGGCCCGCCCCGGCGACGAGCCCTTTTAACTAATCTTACAGAACAGTTATTACTTTGTAAGTATAATAAGTGTTACACTACTTGACAATTTCAGAATTAATATCTTCATAAAATGCGCCCCGCCGCGCGCGCGTCTCCAAACCCTACATCATTTAAGCCCCTTATGAAAACCACCGCGTTATTACCTATTTTCTCCGAAAACGAGAAAAACATACCATAAATATATATATACACACAATCACACACACACATATATATATATGTGTTTGGAGCGTCGTTATTAGTTTAGGGTTATGCGGACGCGATTCCCTTTAAGGACTGCGGCTACTGAATGAAACACTTGTAAATCCCATATGCCGTTCCCTAGATTACCTAATCTGGAAATGCCAAAATTGTAATTTTACATGCACCATATGTCGCGCTCTGTTTGCATACAAATTCATTATTGACATCAACACTATAATATACACTCTTTTGTGCTTTCGCACCTCTTTCCAAACACGACCCCGCAATGCGTTTCATATTATACACATAACAAAGGAAAATGTACTTGGCATTATCCAACTACCGTTTGCATAACACGAACTACATTTATTCGTTTATCAGGCTTAAAGTGTATAGCAATTCTCTATTCGTGTTCTAAAACCTTTTTTTATAATATATTTCGGTATATTTCGTAAATAAATTATATAACCCTATGCAAATTATTTCAGCAGATTCTCAACAATTATGAGTAAATTTGTTCTGAAATAGAAATAGAAATTGATAGGTTTTGTAATATTGTTGTTCTTAAACTTTGTTTTATAATAATTTTATTTCTATTTCTAAAATTCCTACAAAGATCTTGTCTTTTAATTTAGTTATTTAAATTTTACTAAAATTATATAATAGAAAAAAAAACTAGATATTTAGTAATTTACCCATAATTTGTTATTACGTAACATTTATTTTATAAATAATATAAAATCATCTGTTGGTACTTGTGTCTCTTTTTTTTTACTTCTAATATCTTGTAAATATTACAAAGTATGATTTCTAGTATATCAGTTTTATCCATATTCTTCTAAAACAAATTGTAAATAAAATTTGACGCTATATTTTTTTTATCAAATTACTTTAATGATTCTTGATTGTTTATAAAGAATATGAAAAACAAGATTATGTAGATGATAAAAACTATAATCATGATTTCATTACAAAATGCGTTTCGTTTTCGCAAAATTTATCATGTTGACCTGGAAATAACATCATAACCATTATGAATATCTTAATCGTCGGCTTGGAATAATTTCAAAAGATTCCCATCTCTTAGGCAGTTTCATAACCGTGAAATATATATATATATACACATTTTTGTTAGATTGGCGAGATCTGATGCACCCTATGCCATCGTCACCATCATCCCCCCATTCCTCCTTCAGATGGTGGTGGGGTGCCTACTATGAAATCTTAATTAAATTGAAAGGGGTGATGCCGTCTTTTCGAGGGTCGCTTAAATTCAAGAAACTTATTTTATTATTTCTGAACACATCTTTTATGTTACGACTCCTCATTTCCATTGTCTTCCGTGTTCTCTTTTTTTTTCGCTCCTCCCAAAACTGGAACTTCTCTTAGATACACGTGTTACTACTAAATCTTTGTCAAACAAAAAAGAAGAAGAGATACAACTGCGCAATTTTATTGTGTTGAAAACATCAAACAATAAAAATAACTAAAAATATATTAGTTGTAACAATAGAGCACAATTAGTAACAAACAAATGAGTAGAAACTGTTGAAAATTTTATTTAACAAAACATTTTTTTTTTCTTAACATAGTTGTATAATTTGTATACAACACAAAGTGTTGAAATAATAAAATGGAGGCTACTTTTAATGAGTAATAAATATGTATATAAAAATGTTAAAGCCATATAAAAAAGTACGGGTTTTATTTTTCGAAAGGCCATTTTGCACGCAACGATTTCTCCTTGTAATTAACTGCACTTTCCGACAACAGTGATAATTTTTTTTTGCACTGTTGCAATTGAATCGTGAATGCTATGAATAGTTACATTCATTAGAAGCACGATGTATATAAATTCGAAAAACATTTCAATAAATTACAAATTTAATTAACACTTCTTAATTATTAGTTTTATTTAAAAATAAATGTTTTCTAGGTACAAATTACACATTAAGATTAAGTAGAGAAATACTTCGATGAGTGCGGGTTCTTGACAAAAATTTAAAAAAAATCCAGTGTCAAATTTCTTTTTGTGCAAGTCCGGTTTCAAACAGTCTGGTATATTGGCAGAATTCGTACTATGCGAGGTTTTGCCATTTTTTGTACAAGACAAACTCATTTTATATAAATTAATCATAAACTGTACCAAATTACAATTTTATGGGTATTTCCATTTAAATAAATTACAAATTTACTTAACACTTCTTAATTATTAGTTTTATTTAAAAAAAAATGTTTTATAGGTGACAAAATTTAAAAAAAATCCAGCGTCAAATTTCTTTTTGTGCAAGTTTATTTTTATTTAGTCTTCGATTAGTCCGGTTTCAAACAGTCTGGTATATTAGCAGAATTCGCACTATGCGAGGTTTTGCCATTTTTTGTACAAGACAAACTCATTTTATATAAATTAATCATAAACTGTACCAAATTACAATTTTATGGGTATTTCCATTTTTTTTGTAGACGCAAGTTTAATTATATTTATTGATGTTGCTGGTTAATTGATGTTATGTAAAAAATTCGATGTATATATTTTGGTCAATTTAAACGGAATTATTTCTACTCAATTGAATTGAATTATGTAATATATGTATGTCTATTATGCAGTTGTTGTTGTGGTGTGAATGAAGACTACAATTGGATTCAAGGACTAATGGGTAAATTTGTTTATGCTCATTTCTGCGTATTTAGGGTTATGATTTTGCATGTAGAATGACTTGAAATTTGGTTGAGAAAGAAATAATAACAATAAATAGTTTTGTCGATGGGGTTGTTGTTCTAGGATAAGTGTAGTAGCAAAAGAAGCGACGTTCGAGAGGGTGGAAGGACGAAGAGGAAAAGTGGTATGTATGTATATGAGATGGGCGGAATAAAAGCGATCCATTGAAATATACATGGCAAATGTCTTGAATAAAGTTTTGTGGCCATTGTTTCCGAGCGGACGGCCAGACCGTGTCCCGAACGGGAAGCAATGGAGTACGGACCATTTGCCATTCC